AACAATCTTGAAAGTGAGTAGTTTTGAACTTTTAATCCTATTTGCACGTGAACAAAACTTCAAATCTAATAAATTTTGTCACATAGACAACACTTTTGACCTTGAAGGTTTGCACGGTTGCACATAGAGCAAATAAGATCAAAAGTTCAAGATCATTCATTTTTTAAAATCATTGAATATAATTTCCTCCATAAACCCGGTCGACTTTTGGCCAAAGCGAACAACAGGTGCTTTCTGTTTTACTTTGTTTATCGTATTTTTCTTTCTTAAATTACGTTTGAAGATAAAATTATACGAACAAAATTGAATAGAAGGAAATACTTATACTTATTTACCACTTTAATTAGTTAATTTAATTTAGATCTTAATCTAAAGTAAATGTGGACAAATTGGAATATGGAAATTCAAGAAAAGGAATGATGAGTGAATAAGTTTGACTAGCTCAACCAAGTCTAAAAATGATCAAAGAGGAAAAACAAGGCAATAATTGACTTTTTCCCTATACTTTAGGTATGGGTATATGACATGCCCCACGATTTATTGCCTTGCACTTTCAACATTACCAAACTTCTCAATTATTCACTCATTAAAGCGTTTTTTTTTCTTCTTAATTGGACTTTTTTAACTTGTAAAATACTTTTAATATTATTAAATAAAAATATTTTTTTGTTTTATTTTATGTGATGGTATATCTCATTTATGTTTTCAATGAGTAGCTTGATGAGTCCAAATCACGACAGCTTGAGAAGAAAGGAAAATGTATTAAGAAAAAAAAATGGGAAAATGCATAACTACCCCCAGCCTATGTCCAAAATCCCTGAGACACATCTAACTTTTACTAAGATCCTATTACCCCGAACTTATTTTATATATAATTTTATACCCCTTTTCGGCCTACGTGGCATTATCTTGTGGGCTCAGTGCGTGTTGACAATTTTTTCAAGAATAGTGCCACATAGGCCGAAAAGGGATAGAAAATTAATTAAAAAATAAGTTCGGGAGTAATAGGACCTTAGTAAAGGTTAAGTGTGTCTCAGGAATTTTGAACATAGGCTTGGGGTTACTTATGCATTTTCCCAAAAAAAAATCAAAAATCTCAATCCATTTTGAGGACCAAATACATCTAATCTATAGTATAGGTGTCAAAGAAGAATTCCAAATAAAAGAACGAAATATCCAATATGATAAACAAAATAAAATCATGTCAAAGTCATAATTGTATGACTTCAATATGATGTCTTTCGAACGTGAATTCACATTGAACATTGCACCATATGATCAATGATCTGTTAATTTTACAATTTTGTTAAACTTGTGATTTAAAACAAGTTACAAACGATTCTCTAACTATAAATTTATCTTATTTAGAGTAAGTTGAAAAATTAGAAGTTAAATTATTACTCAAACATAGCTAAAACATGCTAGAAAGGTAAGAATATCACATACTACAACAACATGTCCCGTGAAATTCCACGAGTTTTCTGGGATCTTGAGAACAGAGATAGAGTGTACCCAAACTTTATCCCTAACGACCCTTCGTCTCAAGTATAGCGAATCAAAGTAGTTATGAAAAAAGTAAAAACGACATTGCATTCAGAAAAGCAACAGTAACACCAACAATAGTATCATCTGTATATATTTTCAATGTGTAAGTATAACAAAATATGAAAAAGTTACAATGAAAAGTTGAATTCTTGATGAAGAGCTTCATCTAACAAAAACTGAGATTGCTCCATCAACTCAGGACTTAATCTGAACATCAAAACACAAAATTCCATCTGATTCAAAGCTCCATCACCATCAAAATCCCCTTCTTTAACCATACCTTTAAGATCATCATCACTCAAATCTTGTAACCCTAACAAAGCTGAATTCTTCTTAAGACTCTCAAATGTGATAACCCCTTTATCCCTATCCATTAATAACTGAAACCCTTTACACAGCTCACCAATTAAACCATCCCCACCAAGTTTTTCAGCCATAAGAGGCAAAAAATCATTAAAATTGGATTTTCTTGAAGTAGCCATTGAAGAAATAAAAGTTGGAATTGGTCAGAAAATTGATTGATGAAGAAAAGGGGTTGTGGAGAATTGTATATAAAGGAGAAATTTGGACGGTAGAAAGGGGTTTCGAAGAAAACGCCATGGAAAATACAGCAAAGATAGAGTCTTTTCACGCGAAATTGCCTTTGCTTTGGCTTAGCCTGACAGTTGAGGAAGAAATTGCCTCCCAATTTCTAATGTTGGTCTTGTCACACACTAGGGGTATATTTGTCCTTTTGAAATTATCTTTATAACGACGTCATTTATTCGGATACATTTTAAGGAAAAATTACCTAAATACACATTTTATTTTATCATATTCTCGAAAATTTTCTATCATTCAAAAAATTACAAAATCCCTACTATCTCCTATTCTCGGATACATCACTTTACGCGATGTATATTATCTGGATGTACGCGATGTATTCAAAATTGATACGCAATGTATCGAGATGTATCTGAAATCGAGACGCAATGTATCAGAACGTTTTGAAATATATCTGTATTCCACCAAATTTAAGAGATTTTTATTTTGAAAAAATATAGGGATAAGATTTATTATCTCTTTAACACTATGAGATTTGTGTAAAATTCATTTTTTAGTTATTCTTATAGAGAATATATAATATAACATAACCTAAAATATCGATTACTCAAAAAGAATATAAATACTGAAACTGAAATGGTGTTATAAAGAATATAGCAGCTAGCATTGCTTGTTTCGATATTTTTTACTGTTATTATATAAATAACATAAAATGAAAAATTGATTTCATAGAAAACTTGGTTTACAATGAAATATTGTTGTAAATGATATAATGACGTTGTTTGTTTGGACATTTTTTTATTGTCATGGCAAATATTATTAAAAAAACTTAATTATTTTTTTCCTTAATATTAACTGGTAAGCACCAAGTATTGTTCTAAAAAAAATATTACTTATATAATTGGACGGAAAAAATTATATTTAAACTTGACTAAATAGAAATTACCTAAATATAATGTGAAGCTATTATTATTCGAAAAGTCAAGAGATTTGTATGTCTCCAATGTACATGTTTACATTGAAGTTATAAGAATAAAAGTTGCAATGAAGAGTCAATCTTTCGAAAGGCCAAATATTTTTATATTTTAGTCTTTTTGTGTTTCATATCGGACCACCAATTATTTATTAAATATATTTTAATTGTTAGTTATTCCTTTTTACTACTAAATAAAGGTGATAATTCAATTACATTTTAATTATTAATTATTCCTTTTTACTACTGAATAAAGGTGATATTTCAGGTAAGAAAAGGGAATAAGTGATTGTTTATATGTGTTTTGATTATAGTTGATAATAATTGAGATAGGAAACTCGTACACTTACGTCTAGGTATGAAGCTAAAAAAATCGAGATATTTTAGGTGTATTTTACACCATTAACCTTGTTGAAGAGTATTGACAAAAGTTATAATGAAAAGTCAGCATCTTTGAAACTCTTTGTGAAAGAGTTTTTCAGTTGGAGTGTAGTATTCGTATTGGGGTTTTTATTAATTTCAGTTTGTGTCGCATAAATTAAATTAAAGAAAAAAACATTGTGTAGCGTGGACGGATCCTATCTATCCCGCCACAATCTGCAGCGTTGAAGGCACAAAATTCCATCTGATTGAGAAATGATTTTATAATCCATTACAAATGTTATTGTAATTATACTTCTTTTCCTAGGAGATTATTACTAAAAAATACACCAAATAAATGTAAATAAAACAATATTAGAAATGACCTATTGTTCAAAATCGAATAGGGAGTTTGATTTTTAAAGCAACGTTCGATGAGGAAAATAACTTTCACCCAAAGGTAAGAGGTGGTCATTCCACTTTCTTGAATCTATAACAGCAATTGAAAATTTAGATAAATGGAAGATTGTATTTAGAATTCGAATACACTTGGGATCGACTATATGAATCTTTACTGCTTCATTTAAGCTCAACTCATGTCATCATCGTTATCAAATAAAGTAAAAATGAAACCAAAACAAGTTTTAATAACGTTAGAAGTTCTCTAACGAGTCCCAAACGAGGAAAATGTAATTTCATTTGCAGTGCAAGAGTCAGTATCAGACCTGATAGAAGTAACTTCAGTTGGGTTCATATCTCTCAGAAAACCAGGTTGTCTTGGCTGTGGTAGTGTACTCTCTCCATTCAACATCAGAACCACGGGCCGACATATTTGGTCTGTCTTCTGGAATCTGCTGGACACATAACAGACTTACATGTATGCACCGCGATATTTCCAACATAGAGCTTGTGTCCTCTAACGAGGAATCAACTAACGCGAGGGGTGTCCCTTCCGTCCACATTCTCCAAGCCTGAAAAGGGGAATAAAGAAAGAAAGGCACATTACATAACCAAACATTCAAACTTGGCTTCAGATGACAATTTAGCACTCCAATTTTGACTATGCACATCTAGACAGTTCAACTCGTCTCCACTGTGTCAGTTGAACACTCCAACTTCGTCTTTACTGTAACCTTGTTCTTTACTTCCACGGATAGTGACTAGTGAGATATTAACTCATTGACTCTAAACTCATTCCAATTATACCTATATTCCACACGCTGAGAAATAAATGTCATTGACTTGCAATGCTTGTGATTTCTCATAAGAAGAAGCATCAAAACTCAAAAGAAAGAGAAAGATTTTGCGTACAACAACTACGCCTCAATCCCAAACAAGTGGTCAGCTATATGAATCCCCAGTTCTTCATTAAAGCTCATTTTCATATCCTCATCGTGTGCATTAACGAAAAAATCTAATAAAAGTTTCAGCTTAGAATTTATCAAACAGTGAGTTTCAGACATTGAATGGTTAAATCATAAGGAAAAAAAAGTGAAAAGACCCTTGGTAGAGACAATAGAGAGAACTGATGAAATAAGCTGTTTCTCCATAGATACAACTTTCCATATATCCCTATCCATCAATAACGGAAACCCTTTACACAGCTCGTCTATCAAACCAACCCCACGTAATTTCTCATACAAAATAGGTAACAAATACTCATCCGTAGAGACAGTTAAGATAACTGATTAAACCTATTGTTTCTCCATTAGTACAACTTTCTGTATATGTTTTTGCAATGTATTACATGTTTACATAGACAAAAGTATAAAACGACAAAAGTTACAACGAAAAGTTGAATTCTTGGTAATGAGATTCTTTCTAACAAAAACTGAGACTCTCAAATGTGATGACCCCTTCATCCCTATCCATCAACAACTGAAACCCTTTACACAGCTCGTCAATCGAACCATCCCCACTTAGTTTTTCTCATCCATATTAGGCAACAAATAGTTGAACATGATTACAATAATTCAGTGTATAACTATAAGAATTTTATCATAAAATGTGCGGTTCTGCTCTTATCTCGATGAGATAATAGCCACAAGATTTTGCTGTCACTTAGAGTAGAACTGTATCAGATTGAAGTGTAAAATTGATAGCTATCATTTTATCAAACCAGCAGTGTTATTCTTGACCGGCATGTCTATTAGTTCATCAATGCAACGACTATGAAATGCCATTGACTTGGTCTTTACTGTAAGCTTGTTCTTTACTTCTGCGGATAGTGACTAGTGAGATACTGACTCATTGACCTCTCAACTCATTCCATTTACATATACCAATATTCCACACGCTGAGAAATAAATGTCATTGACTTGCACTACTAGTGATTTTTCATAAGAAGCATCAAAACTAGAAAGAAAGAGAAAGATTTTGCATACAACTACATCTCAATCCCAAACAAGTGGTCAGCTATATGAATCCCCAGTTCTTCATTAAAGGTCATTTTCATATCCTCATCATGTGCATTACCAGAAAATTCTAAGAGAAGTTCCAGCTTAGAATTTATGGAAAATTGAGCTTCGGATATTGAATGGTTAAATTATAAGGAAACAAGTAACAAGACTCATTGGCAGAGACAGTAGAGAGAACTGATGAAATAAGTTGTTTCTCCATAGACACAACTTTTTGTATCCCTATCCATCAATAACTGAAACCCTTTACACAGCTCGCCTATCAAACCAACCCCACGTAATTTCTCAGACAAAATAGGTAACAAATACTCATCAGTAGAGACAGTTGAGAGAACTGATTAAACCTATTGTTTCTTCATTAGTACAACTTTCAGTAAACGTTTTTGCAATGTATTACATGTTCACATAGAGAAAAGTATAAAACGACGAAAGTTAAAACGAAAAGTTGAATTCTTGATGATGAGATTCTTTCTAACAAAAAACTGAGACTCTCAAATGTGATGACCCCTTTATCCCTATCCATCAACAACTGAAGCCCTTTACACAGCTCGTCAATCGAACCATCCCCACTTAGTTTTTCTCATCCATATTAGGCAACAAATAGTTTAACATGATTACAATAATTAGGAAAACTGAAAAAGTACTCTGAAGAGAACTGATTAAACAAGCTGTTTCTCCATTAATTCAACTTTCTGTATATGTTTTTGCAATGTATACATTAAAGTTAAGTATAAAAGACAAAAGTAACAATATAAAGTAACAATCTTTATATTTAAATGTTAGAATGAAAAGTCAGAATCAACAAACTCTTGATGCAGAGCTTCTTCTAACAAAAACTGAGATTGCTCCATCAACTCAGGACTCAATCTGAACATCAACACACAAAACTCCATCTGATTAAGAGCTCCATCACCATCAAAATCCCCTTCTTTAACCATACCCTTAAGATCATCATCACTCAAATCTTGCAACCCTAACAAAGCTGAATTCTTCTTTAAACTCTCAAATGTGATGACCCCTTTATCCCTATCCATTAATAGCTGAAACCCTTTACATAGCTCACCTATTAAACCATCCCCACCAAGTTTTTCAGCCATAAGAGGCAAACAATCATTGAAATTGGATTTTCTTGAAGTAGAATTAGCCATTGAAGAAAGTGAAAATTGGAGAAATGAATGAAGAATTGATTGTGTTTGAGGAAAAGGGTGTTGGAGAATATATATATAGGAGAGATTTGGATGGTGAAGAGGGGCTTCTAGGAAGGGGAAAAGCCATAGGAATACAACTAAGAAACAGTGAGCTTAACGCGAAGTTGCTTTTTTGATATGAAGAAATTGCCACCCAATTTCGATATTTTGTTCCTTTCCTAACTATTAGGGGTATTTTCGTCCTTTTGAATTTTTATTTTTTTTGAAAAAATTTAATTTATTTTTATTTTTATATAATCATTCGATATACGAAATTCACTTGATCAGTTATTCAGAAAAGAGGGGCTAATTAGCACTTTCGAGGTCATAGAAATAGTTATTGGATCATATTCGTCTATAATAGATGTTAATTAGTCCGTTAATTTAAAGAAAAATTACCTAAATAAACAACTTATTTGATCATATTCTCTAAAATGTCCTACCATTTTATAAAATTACAAAAATGCATATCCTCAGATACATCACTTTATGCGTTGTATCGGGACGTACGTGATGTATCAGAACGTTGTATCGATCGGATACATCACTTTACGCGATGTATCTTGACGTTGAGTGATGAATCCGAAACTGAGATGCGATGTATAGGGATATTGAATGATAAAACCAGGACACGAAGTGTTGGGACGTTTTGAGATGTATCTGAATTCCACCAAATTTAAGGGATTAATGTAATTTGAAAAAAAAGTAGGAATATAATGTAATTAGCTCTTAACATTTAGCATATTCTCATCCTAAGCCCTAACCACAAAATACGCTATGCGAGAATATTTAAATTGTGGAAAAAGGAAATCCATCCACTTCATGAAGTTTTACGATAATTGATAATACGAGTCGTGATGTGTTTATATCCACGTTTATTAAGAATATTTTCTTTCAGTGAAGGATCAATAACACATCTTAAGTATCTCGAATTTGTAAGTTTTCATATCTGAAATCAAGTATATGATTTTTTTTATCTAAACTATAACCACTTCAACATTGGATTTAATTAGGATTTTTGAATTAGATTATTTTATAATATTGGAAAGCATTTACTTTATGTTGAATCAACTGTTTTCCACAAATATATATATATATATATATGAAAGAAATGTTACCATATCTAGAAAAATACTATAAAAAATTACCAGGCTTCTGGGCAAAATATTTCAGAGAAGAATATGAAAAAGAAAATAAAAAAGGAGACACTATATATAATAAAAAAATGAAAAGCATATATTAATTCCAAGTTTACTGACCAAATCAAAGTCCAGGTAATTTGGTGGATAATTTTCAACAAAAATCTTCTGGCACACTATTAATTATTTAATTTAATTCCCCGTAATCACGTTCGTCATCTTTTCTTCAATAGAAGAAGGAAATTACTGTATTTATTTATATTATATTGTCATTGGCGTGAAATGGTTAAAAAGATCTTGATATTAATTAATATTATATTTGTCATTTGAGTGAAATGGTTAAAAAGGTATTGATATTAATTAATATTCACGTTGCTATCATGAGTGGAATATGAATTAATTTATTTAGTAAAAAAATAATCCTTTGGTGCAATTAGTGCTAATTCAACGCATGAATAAATGTGATTTTGACAAAGCCTAACTTTAGTCATTGCGTTTATTTCGTTTAGATGTGGATTGATTTATAAAATTTTATAAACGTAAGCATGACTTAAAAACGGTTTCATAATCAATTATATACATATTTATCCTAAATAGTAATCATTTTCTAGTTCGTTCTTCAATCTTTTTATTCTTTAGAAATTGATTTGTGATTTAAAGTTTATAAATTTTTATAACAAATTAAAGTTAACATACAAGAATAATTGAGCTCGCAGATAAATATTTCTAAAAAACTATTGAACGTTTAAGTTTGCCGGAGAGAAATCATTGACCCGTATGACATATGTAGAGCTACCATTCTACTTACCAATTCGATGAATTTGGTATTTATGAATTTTATTAAATATATACAAATAATTTATGTTATACCTTATATATATATATATATATATATATTTCTTAAAATTAATAATCTTTTAACTTAAAATTTTTGCTTCTTGACGAATGGTCTTTTGTTGTGTGAATTGCCTAATTAGTCTTAATCATTTTTAATTATCAATTGGACCCACAAAAATATTGCAACTTTTGTCAGTCCTTCTAACCCCACCCCCAACCCTCCAAATCAAACAAAGATATTCGAATTTTGAAAATAAAATTATTTTTAATATATAAAAAACTTTATTCTAAAAGTGAAATTTCTCGACATAAATTTAAATTAATCAATTCGAAAAGCTAATAGTAGATACCAAATTTAAAAAGAAAGGTTGTCCCTTGTTAGGATCAGTATATGAACAATTGAAACATACTAACACTCAATATTTGCACCAAACTATATTATTTAAGTGACAAATTAGCTACCATTTAGTAATAAACATTATATTATCATGCAATTCTTGAGTCGAGAGAATTTTAAAAAAATATAGTGTTATTTTCACTCAAAATTTGCAGACAATGATGAGATTTTACTTAATTACGAAAGACAGAATGTACAAATATGTCATTTAACTTAGCTTCTGCTAGCACCTATGTCCTCCAACTTTGAGTGTGTATATGTAGACACTTAAACTTGTATAAAATTGAACAAATAAACACATTCATCGTACGTGACATCCTACATGACAATTTTGTCTCCTATGTAGCGTTCTACGTGTATTTCAATTTTATACAAGTTTAAACGTCTACTTGCGCACACTCAAAATTGGAGAGTATGAATGTTAGTTGAAGTCAAGTTAAATGACATATTTATGTATTATACCTTTTAACATATAGCAAAATATATTGTATCTATATGCATATACAATATCTATATAATAGAATACACTGTATTCACACATAATAATAGTGAAATAGATTGTATTCGTGCCCCATGTGTAGAAGCGGAAGCAGGATTAAGAGTTTGAGGGTTCTAAATCTAGCGTGAAAAACATGTCCACGATTCCTTCCTTACCACTGAACTCTCAATCAATTTTATCAGGTCTACGAAAAAGCTACTGAGCTCATCCGAACTCACGAACACCCACCTAGCTCCGTCCTTGACCATGTGTGAACAACTTTTAACTACTCTTGACCATAATACTTGTCAATTGGTCCCACAACAAGATCAAAAATAGTACTACCACTACAAATCACCTGTCTAATACAACAAAATTTTCATATTTTGAATCTTGATTTTCATCAAAAAAAATGAACAGAATTTTCTTGTTTCTCTTTACAATTTTATCCTTATTCCAAAAAATTAACTCTCAAAGTGACACATTAACAACTTCACAAATTCTCAAAGATGGTCAAACAATAATTTCATCAGATGGAACATTTGAATTGGGATTTTTTTCTGCAGGCAAAAATAGTTCATCAATAAATCGTTATATTGGTATTTGGTACAAAAAGATTTCAGCTTTTACACCAATTTGGGTTGCAAATAGACAAATTCCAGTAAAGGGTATTTCTGGAATCTTGAAAATTGTTGAACCAGGTTATCTTGTTTTGATTAATAATGTTACTAATGACACTATTTGGAGTACTAACTCTTCAAGAACAGTGAAAAATCCAGTTGCTAAGTTGTTGGATACAGGGAATTTTGTGATTAAAGATGCAAATGATGATGATTTGTTGTTGTGGCAGAGTTTTGATTATCCTAGTGATACTTTGTTAGCAAGTATGAAGCTTGGAAGAGATTTGGTGACTGGGTTGGAAAGGTAAGTTCTTGAATTATGTGATCGTCTCGCTTAAAAGATTAAGTTGTTAGAGGGTGTACGGTTTGTCAGTGTTTTTTCTTTTTTTGTCTTTGAGTTTGTAATGGCACAACTGTCAAGGTATTGTCTGCTTTAGCCCGACCCTCTAGGCCACCTTATGGTTGGGTGACTGGCTTGGAGAGGTAAGTTTTTGAATGTGAACTGTCTCGTCTAAAAGATGAAAGATTAAGTTGTTAGAGTGAGCACCGTTTTATTTACTTAATTATATTTTCAACATGTCTGAGTATGTGTAAGGTGTTTTTTTTTTAATGGGTGGTCTTTGAGGTTGTAATTGGTAAGATACAACTATCAAGGTATTGTTTGCTTTGGCCGGACCCTATGGGCCACCTTAAGGCTTTTGGGGGCTTATGGTTTGGTGACCGGCTTAGAAAGGTAAGTTTTTTGAATTGTGTGAGTCATCTCGTCTAAAAGATGAAAGATTAAGTTGTTAGAGCGAGCACTGCTTTATTTACTTAATTATATTTTCAACATGTCTGAGTATGTGTAAGGTGTTTTTTTGATAATGGGTGGTGTTTGAGGTTGTAATGGGTAAGATATAATTGTTAAAAATGTCAAGCTGTTAGAGAGAACACACTTTTATTTACTTAGTTTAATTATGTCTGCAACAGGTATCTTAGGTCATGGAAAAGCGACGATGATCCTGCTCCCGGGGATTATACATATCATTGTGATCCTACAGGTTATCCACAGGACCTTATGAGAAAAGGTCCTAATGTAGTTTATAGAGCCGGGCCATGGAATGGTCTTAGATGGAGTGGAGCACCAAACATGGTGAACAACTCGATCACCTCTTTCGGGCTAGTCATGAACAATCAAGAAATTTACTACAAATACGAACTAGTAAATAAATCCGTGCTTACTACTTTAGTGCTAACGCCTAATGGTGATGCGATGCGTATGATTTGGTTAGAAAAGAGAGAGGGTTGGGTTAATTACCATTCCGCGGATGCAGATCATTGTGACACTTACAAATTGTGTGGTGCATATGGCACTTGCACAATCTTTAGCGATCCTGTGTGTCGTTGTTTGGATAAATTCGTTCCAAAACATCCGGATGATTGGGACAGAGCTGACTGGTCAAGTGGTTGTGTCCGAAATCATCCATTGAATTGTTCAGAAGATGGATTTATAAAGTATTCTGGTGTTAAATTGCCAGATACTCGGGATTCTTGGTTTAATGAGACTATGACACTCGATGAATGCAAGTTAGTTTGCTTGAGAAATTGTTCATGTATGGGATATACTAGTCTGGACAT